TTTCTCTCCACATTGCAATTGTGACAGTCGGTTACGCGCAACGCTTCCTTGTCACAGAAACGATACTCGCATCCGTGCAATTAATCGCATAACCATCGCGAAGTTGGTCACTTTTAACTCGCACCTTTTTCTCGGTGCAATTTTTTGAAATATTTCTTTAGCGATGAGAAGAACAACAGAACGAAACTGTAGCGCGTTTATCTACGATCCTTCGAGACGGTAACGCGGGTACGGCGAGTGATCGTGATGGAGGAGCGGTGTTTCTCACGATTTCACCATATCTCTGTTTAACACGCGTAATTCAATCGCCGTTATACTTTTACCGTGCTTCACGAGTTTAGGATTAACAGCGACGCGTGCGCGAGCGCAAAGCTTCCAGGTTAAAAATTGTTTATAATAATTTCAATTGTGTAGAGAAGAAATGTTCTTGTTTCTGTAACGAAGTATTTTCGAATAATTAAATATTATACAGTTCCTTAATGTTCGGATGGAGCTTATGCCTGGCGCTTTTTTAGAGACAACAGCAACGCGTGCGCGAGCGCAAAGGTTCCAGGCTAAAAATTATTTACAATAATTTCAAGTTTTGCAGAGAAAATGGAAATTGGGGGGTATTGAATGCAAAATGTAGCATCTAAAAATGCTAAAAAGTAGCATTTTTTATGTAATTACAAATCGTTTATCGATTTGAATACGTGAATTTGCTGACGATAATAACTCCACCCTTAAGAAAACTGCGTTATGTCCGAAAAGAAATCGGTGCGCAGGACAAATTTGGAAAGAAACAGTATATGAATTCACATTTTATTAAATTACAAGTATAGGCTATCTACATCTTGCCTTAGACTCGCATTGGCCATACTTGTGTGTTTAGAAAATAGAAATGTTCTTGTTTTGCAACAAAATATTTTCGAATAATTACATATCATATGTATAGTTCTTTAATGTTCGGATACCTGGCGCTTCTTTTTAGGGTCAACAGCAACGCGTGTGCAAGCGTAAAGTTTCCAAGCTAAAACTTACAATAATTTCAATTTCGTGGAGAAGATAGAAATGTTCTTATTTTGGTAACAAAATCTTTTCAAATAATTAAATATTATACAATAGTTCTTTAACGTTCGGATGGAGCTTATGCTCGGCAATTTATTTTATCTTTATAGAATCAACAGTATCGCGTGCGCGAGCGCAAAATTTCCGGGTTAAAAATTATTTATAATAATAATAAATAAATAAATTAGTATGGCTTGTATGTGTTAAACACAAATTTCAAAGAATTTAAAGGACTCAGAGCCGTGACAGGGTGGCAGTGTCTAAATATTCTATTCTAAGTTTATTGCGATAAATTATTTATAATAATTTCAACCGAGGGGGAAACCGCGCACCAAAATCTTGTACACCAATGCCCACTAATGCCCAATGGGCATTACTTTATCTTATTATCTTAGTTTATCGTATTTTATCTTTATAATGCTCCCACAAGGCCTAATACTCAAACTAATGCCCAAAAATGCCTAGTAATGCTCAGTAATGCCGCAAATCTGTACACCACAATGCCCTCAGCGGTTTTCCCCTCGATTTCCAACAATAATAAGAACGCGCGCGAATAAAATGCAAATATCCGTTGTAAAATCACAATTTTTAATTTGAATATAATATTTTAACATAAAAAATAATAAAGTATCTATACGATTTTTCTTTTATGTAATGTATACGACGGACTTTTGTTTACTGATTTTTATTAATTAAACGTTTACTTTGTTAATTTATTCATTGCTCGTAAATACACTGGCCTTAATTTTCCTTTACTCTTTTTATAAAAAAGACGAGCTTGTACTTATTCTTAATAAAGTATCTGGTTTGTATAAATATTCAGTTTAGTTGGCGCTATTTGACAATATTACTTTTGTAGAGAAGATACTTTT